GGGTCAGAAGACGAGGAAGCACCTTCAAGTAATTAACTAATTAAGTTGTTAGTTACAGATGATTATAACAATGACTCATCCTCAATCCTTAAACTGAAAACGATTACAAAACTAGACCATAATATGAAAAAAAAAAACATGAACACACCCCAGATTCATGAAGAGTGAATGAATCAGAGCCGAGCAATTAAAGGCCAACGGAGGCTGAGGTGAGCATGAGGGGAGGACACTGTGTCTCTACTACGTTGTGTTCTAGGGGCCAAGAGAGTCATCAGATGCCTGAAATTGGGCCCTGGGGGTGGGGATCTAACAGGCGTCCCTCACAACAAGACCACCACCAACAATAAAGTGTCGGCCTGTCAGGGTAACACATATGGAATTTTTGTCAATATGAACCAGGAGGGTACACTGTAGACTGTTACGTTATGAACTTGGTTTATTTTAGTTATTTTTGAAAGTTTTTCTTTGGAAATAATTAGGTTATTTACTTATTTTCAGTGGAGGTACTGAGGATTCAACCCATGATGTCGTGCACACTAAGCACTCACTCTACCACTGAGCTGTACCCTCCCCCTTGAACGTGGTTCAGGATGGCCTTGTATTTGCACTGACCCAGGCACATGGAAGGATCAGACAAGATGCCAGGTGATCTTGAAACACAAGCAAGAGAAGGGCTGTGCAATACTTCCCAGCTTTAGTACCTGGAGGGCATTCATTGTCTAGAAATGATCTAGACAGTTAATGTCTCAGTCCCAATCCCAGTGGAGGAGCCTCCTCCGTCTACTCATGTGGGGAGTAAGATGACAAAGATGCGTGTGCAGAACTAGGCTGCCCTCCAGGAGTGCTGGGTGGAGACAGAGGGGCTGGGGGGCCCTGGATCAGAGACCAGTAGGGGGCACTGTTTCAAGGTCCTGAGAAGGCAGGGTTCTGGGCAAAGTTACCATTGAAAATTTTCTATTAATACCTGCACACTTAGATAGTGACCTAACAGGCGTGTGGCCTTGGCTTGTTCATGTGACTAAAATTTAGGATCACACATGCACTCCTGGGAACAAGGTCGAGAATATGTTGCCCCAGCATCTCAGTTTGTGCCCCTAAAGCCTGTCCTGGAATCAACACATTATCTGATTGTCCCCCATCCAGAAGGGTTTCCTGGATGTCAGAGGCAGGTTACCCTGGGAGATTCCATGATGGGTGAGAGCAGAACTAGGGACACACGCAGATCCCAGGTCTCAATCAGGATGGCTGCTGACTATTCAGAAGCT